TAACCGCTTAACTGACTGAGCCACCCAGGCGCCCTGTCCTCCTCCTCTTAATCTGAGTGAAACTTTGGGATTCCCTCAACTAATAAGCAACAGTGGAAACTATATTGTGTGATTTCCAAGGACAGAGCATGAAAGTGCCTTTGGTTTGGATCTCTTGGGACATTTGTTCTGGGAACTCTGCCATTGTCCAGTGAAGAAGCCCAAGAATCTGAGAAGCCCACTTGGGGAAGAAGCAAGGCCCCTTGCTCCCAGACCCCAGACCAGCCAAACTGCCAACCGACAGCCAGCATTAACTTGCCAGCCATGTGAGTGATCCGTACTGAAAGTGGATTGTCCAGTCTCAGTTTGAGCCATCTCTGTGGATGCCATATGGAGCAGATGAAAGTCATTCCTGTCCAGCTCTGTGGAAACTGAGTATCTGTGAGCAAAAGAAATGTTTCAAGCAGCTTCGCTTTAAGAAAGCTTGTTATTCAACAATAGACAAATGATACAATGGAAAAATTCTAGAAGCATTTCACTACAGAAAGAAGACATGGATGCCCACTATCACCAATCCTTTGTATCATAGCAAGGACCTTATCAGGCAATGCGATTAGGCAAGAGTAAGTAATTATAGACACAATAATAGCCAACTGACTTTTCCCTATAGAATTTACAATAAGCATTTCTCCATGATATTATAGATATGTACCTATTGTATATGTTAGCTCTATAATATAAACTGTTGGCTACCAAATAGTTTATATGTTATTTTCCTATATTTTACAGAATTTCTACTTCATAAACATAGCTATCATGAACATCCTTGTAGTTCGCTGGATCAAATGACAGAGACATTTTAAGGATTTAAAATAAAATCATTACATGTTCTTAAATTGCATTTTTAGTAGCATCAAAAGAGAATGCAGAGTTCAATTTCTCATCACCCACAATAATTACTGATCTTTGTTAATCTGATTAATGAAAATTTTTTCTTGGTGATGTTTCTTTGCATTTCAACTAGGTAAAAAGCAGTTACTGACCTGCTTTGATTTAAATATCCAGGAAGAGGCTGCAAGACTTCCTTCATGCAGGGGGAAGTGGGTCTAGGTGGCATAAGGTCCCTTCTGCCAACAATAATCTATGCATAAGATAATCAAATAAAAAAGCCACTGCCTGCCACGTTTGCTGCAAAAATAAAGAGAAACATAACATAAACTCTTACAACTTGTAATTTTGTTATTCAACAATATTTGCTGGAAACCATGTGCTCTTCATTGAGCTAGGAACATGGGATCTGACAAAGAACTAGAAACATTCCCTACCCTCCAGGAATTTACCTTGTCATGTAGAAAGAAGACAAAAAGACATTTATTATGTGAGGGTGCCAAAAAGCAGAGATATTTATACCACTTTTTTTCCTGTAAAACAGTAAGTTTATGAATTAAAGATACAGTACTTGAGAAAAACCTTCCATTTCATATTTCAAAGAATTTGTATCTTTCACCTTACCCATGCCTATAATAGAGACTACCATCTAAATTAAATGGGAAAATAGAGGAATGTATGGCTTTCATTCATCTAAATCCACAAAGGGAAGCCAGGCACCTGACAGATCACGGTCAGTCATTCTGTTAACCACAGGAGGGCAGTGGCACTCTGCCTATGAAATGCTTCCTGGCTAGTACTTTTCCAAACCTTGGTGAAGATCTGTGCCTGTTCCACCATCTGAGAACTGGTGCTCAGGACCAGAACATGACCCAGGTGCTTAAAACATGGCTTCTCTCCTGTCGGTAGGGTTCTCAGCCTCACAAGGGTTCCACCAGGAGACAGCTCCAAGGTCCCCTTTTGTGACAGATTCACAAGGAATTGCTTTGAACCCCCTGCATCTTGCCAGTGATGGGCAGTCCCAGGGGCTCAATATCGCAGAGGACTTCCTCCAACTCAGATGGGCACTCTCAATGAGAAGGCGCTGTGGGAAATGGGTGTCTTTCCCACGGGGCCTTCCTGAGGCTGGGAGGGACATATTGTCATCACCAGCGCAGTTCCAGTTGTCTGAGCAGACCCGGAAGAAACCTACTCTCAGTGTGAACAAGCTGCTTGTTGCTTTTTCTTGTCTTCTCTCTTAGATGATTTCATTTTATTCGAACCTTCTAGAACCCAAAGTAGTACATTATTTACCATGGCACAGACCCCAAACACTTGCTACTGTAGAAAATGCCATCTACCGTTGTTCAGGAAACCAGAACCTTAAATATAAGACTGAAACATTCAGCAAGAATATATCCGATTTAATTCTGTACAAAGAACCTGGTGCATATTGTACACATTCCAGGTTGAAGTCTGCTTTTGTGAAGCAACCCAGATAAATCTAATTGAGTTCTTGTTCTTGCCTTCTAAACAATCCCCTTGGGCAGCAGCTTGGCCACCTTACTTGGGAGGTCATAGCTTATTACCACTCTGGAACTCCTCTTGGGTGCTCCCCCTCCCCAAAGCCCTTAGCTCAAGGGGCTTTGAAATATTTTCCAAGGTGGGAAATCCTTATAAGAGAGTGAACTGAATTTCTGATACAGACTGAAAGAAGTTTGGAATCCGTGAGGTGAATAAAAGGGCAATCAAATTGCATATTACCACCCGGGATGGAAAATGGAAATGGGACTCGATAGGAATGAGACCAGGTTCTATGAGTTCTAAGCTGGCTCCAAAGGGTATTTCCAGCGACAGGTCCTAAACATATTCTGAACACCTATAGGGTGTTCCTTCCTATGCAAGTCCAGTCTCTAGGTTAAGGGTCAGTCATGAAATTTCACTCATATTTCTTAGAACTTTGTTAACAGATTGGATCTGCTCTTATAATGGCCAAGCAGCTCCTATCAATCTCCCATGGATAAACACTAAAAACTCAGGAGGAAATATAAAAAAACTGTTGCTGGAAAATACAAAAAACAAAACAAAAAAAACCCCCAAAAGTAAGTAGGCTCTGGAAGAGAGTTGACCCCTGTAAGAATTAAGTCACTAGATGAGTTTCCCACTTTTTGTAGCTGTTATCTTTTGTCAAGCCCAGTGTACTGGCAGCAGGACAGCTAAAGCTGGAATAGAAGCCCGCAGTTTTGTAGCATGCATAACCAGGACTAGTTTGAGGCAGTTTAGTTAAAATCACCTGTAACCCTCCTGGCACTTATTGGCTATCACCTCACACAAAGAAAGAAATGCATTTTCTATCGACGTTCTCACACATGCATGGATACAACGTGTACCTGAGATTGTTCAAGGACAAAGGACATCTTTATGAAAGGACCAACGACAGGGGGTACAGCTATCATCACAACCAGGCCTTCCGAATTCTCTCGTCCTTGCTTACCTGTATGCATCTGTCTGTTTCAGCTGTAGGAAGCTGACTTGTCCTACCTCCACGGTGTCTAAATCTAGTGGCGAAGCGCACAGGCCAACCGTGTGTCTGTCAAAGCCTTTGTCGACAAGCTCTTGGTAAAAGCGGACAAATCTGATCTCAGCCTGACATGGAGAAATCTTCCCTCCGGAGTTGCGTCTTGGGGGTCAGGACAGCTCAGGGCTTTCACAGGCTCACAGGATCTAAGTCACCGAGGTCAGCCCTGGCGCTCAGGGTTTCAGCCAATAGCGCACAGCCAGTGAGTGAGCACTGGGCAGGGCGGCCGGCGAGACCTCCCGCGCACTCACCCTTAGCCACAACTGGCAAGAGCCCGTGCCAGGTAAAGGCCCTGCTAACAGGCCTGGGCTAAACTCTCTCTTCCACAGCCTCTAAAATTGGAGCCTGTGCTCGAACAGGTCGGGAAAGAGGCACAGGAAGACGGGAAACTGAGCGCAGTCCCACATCCCTCGCCGCTCCCGCGGGTGCAGCGGGGGGGCGCCCGGCGCCCCCGGGCTCCGGGCAGTCGCCGCCGGGGACTTGCGGGCGAGCTGAGGGCCGCGCGGTCCCGACTCCCCGGACGACTCGCCAGGGGGCTCGGCCTTCCCGCCCCAAAAGACCTGCTCCTCGCCGCGGGGGCGCCCTCGCCCGACCGCCCGCAGAGGGCCGGACCCAGCAGGCCGCTCCGGGGCGCCGCAGGGCTCCCTCATCCGCCCGGGGCCTCGGAGGCTGGGGGCTCCCGTTGGATTCCTCCTCACTCCGGGTCCAGGGCGTCGGCGGGCGGGGGTCCCCACCCTCCAGCCCTGTTTGTCTCAGGAGACCCACCCTGGGTGTAAGCCCGGCCTCCCTCCCTCAGCGCTTGCAGCAACTGCCCGCGGCCCAAGATCCCTGGGCAATCCCCAACGGCCCCCAACCAGCACCCCCAAAGCACCCAGTCAGCCCCCAAGGGAATCCAGCCAATCCCAACGGACCCTGGCCAATCCCCACCGGTTCCCAGCCAATCCCTAACGGCACGCAGTCAGCCCTCAACGGAATCCAGCCAATCCCAATACCCTGGCCAATCCCCGGCAGAACGCCCCCAAAGGCCTCCAGCCAATCCCCAATGGCCCCCAGCCAGTCCCAAAGTCCTCCTGCCAATTCCCAACGGTCCCCAGCCAGCCCTCAAAGGCTTCTAGCCAATCTCCAACGGCCCCCAGCCAGTGCCCAACGGCCGCCAGCCAACCCCCAGTGACTCCTGGTCAACCTCTAACAGACCTCAAGGACCCTACATTAGGATCTTAACCTACTCTCTGGACAGGGTGGGGCTGGGAGGGCTCCCTAGAGGACGCTGTCTTTAAGAGGGACAGGAAGGATGAGGAGGAACTGACAAAGAGGGTCTGCAGGGTGTTGTAGGTTGAGGGGAGGAGGGTGCCTAGGGAAGTCATAACTTGGGGGGCCTCTCTGGTTATCTGCAGCTGGAGCTTAGAACCAGGGGAGAGGGGAGAAGACAATGCTGGGTAGGAGAGTGGAAACGAGATCATGAGGCCTCCATGCCCAATGGAGAGGGTTGACTGCTGCAGTCAGATGTGTGGTGTGGAAGGAAGCTTTGGAGACAAGGGGGACAATGGCTGAAGTTCGCAAGCAAGTCTGGGGCAGGAAGCTGACTAGGAGATTGTGTGGGTGACCTAAGTAGGAGGGAAGGTGGCCTGGGCTAGAAGATGGCCCTTCGGGTGGAGAATTGTGGACTTGTTTTTGAAGCTACAGACAAGAACCTAAGTCACACAAAGCAGGAAAGAATATCCAATGGAAAAAAGACCGTCTCTTCAACAAATGGCGTTGGGAAAATTGGACAGCCACATGCAGAAGAATGAAACTGGACCACTTCCTTACACCACACACAAAAATAGACTCCAAATGGTTGAAAGACCT